GCTGCCAACCGGCGCGTCGCCCTCCACCACCACGACGCGCGCGCGCCTGAAGGGGGCCCGCCGCACGCGTCAAGGGGGCCAGCAGGTGGGCATGCGCACGTGCCGGGCGGCTGCATGCATGGTCGCATGCCGATGCGGGCCTAACATGCATGCAACACGTGCCCCGCTCCCGCCCCCATGCTGCGCGTGCGTCCCATGCATGCCGCTGAGGAGCCATGCCCCCGCCATGCGAGGCCCACCTCGGGATGTAGGCGGCCAGATCATTCAGGTCCACCTCCGCCACAGACACGTTGCCGGCCGCGGACGGCGGAATGAGCTCATACTTCTTGGCAAACGCGATCACCGCCTCACCCAACTCGCCGTCCGAGACCGCTGCGGCGCAGGCGGGGCGGCCAAGCTGTCAGACGCTGCAGTACATTCGCATGCATGGCTGGCCGGCCCGCGGCACGATGCTCAGACCGGCGCATGTGGGGCGACGGATGGGGCCGGGGACGCGGGCACGGGGAAGCTGCCGCGCACCTGCCACGACCTTGACGCCTGCTGTCGCCAGCTCCCGGACCAGCGTCAGCGATGCTTGGCCCTCGGCGCCTGGGGGTTGCGGATGCAGCGGCGTCGCGGGCGGGGTGCGCATGGCCCAGGGGCGTCAGCAAGCAACCCTCACCTGAGACACAGGCGCTGCAGCTAGCATCAGGGATGCATGTGCAGCTCCCAAACTTGCCGGGGAGCCCTGCAGCCCGCTGAATCATTTGTGTGGCCTACAGCGCTGCGGCGCGCGGTGCCGCGCAGCCGCCGTGCTCGCAGCCCCCAGCGGGCGGCCGCACGTGCGCAGTTGAAGCACCTACCAATGACAAAGACAGGCCCGCGCGCCGCGAGCGCCGCCTGCTTGATCAGCTGGGTGCCGACGGCCTTGGCAGCGCTCACGACCTGCGGCGGGCAAAGGCAGGTGCACCATGCGTGGCCTCGGCTGAGGGTGCGGCAGGGACCGCTGACGCAATGCTCTCATGCTGGCATCGGCCCAGAAGCGGTCAACCGTAGCCGCGCCCGCCTCGCTGTTGGGATGCACCCGCCGCCGATCCCGCCCGTTGGCTCGCCTGAGTTCCGGCAGCAGAGCCTGTCTTGGAGGCGGCGCGCACCACCACCGCAGCGCGATTGCGGCGGGCGGCCCGAACGGCCTCAACTGTGCGCGCCCTGGTGACGCGTCCAATGCGACGGCTGGTGCTGAGCCTTGACCCAATCAGGCCGGGGTATTTGCCAGCCAGGGACGAGGCCCTCGTGGCCATCCCGGCCGGGTGGGCGAGGGTCGACATTATCCGGGGGTGTGGCAAGAGGGTGGGCTCGCCCAAAGGCTGTAAAGCGGGGGGATGGGATGCCCGAGGAGCCTTTTACAGGTCCTCAGTTGTTATCTTGGCCCCAATGGGCGGGTGAAGCCCGGAGATCCGTTCAGAGATGAGCGGTGAGATCCCGCTCAACCAGCGCGGTTTATCAGGCACAACCGCGGGAAGAACAACCTGATTGCTGAACGAAACAATCGGGCCTACGAAGTGAGAGGGTGGGCCGGGGCAGAGCTCGCACGCGCACAGTGGGCACCAGATCCAGGGTGGTCAAGTGCCCGAGGGTCCTGTGTCAGCGCTGCTGGACCATGAGCAAAGGGTCTGCAAGCTATGCTAATTGACAGTGGGACAAGAATGTTACAAAATTCAGCGAACTTATACCTTGGCCGCCGGCGGCCGGCCCCGGCGCGCCCCCGCCGCCTTTTTGGCAGGCGCCTTTGGCCGCTTCGACCCGGCCGCTGGCGCCGCCGCCGCCGCCGGCACGGGCGCCGCGGCGATCGCCTCTGCTATCAGCCGCGCCGCTACCCCCCCGCCGCAGCCAGAGGCTTGCAGCGCCCCTGCCACCCGCTCGAGCTCTGGGCGCGCCACCGAGCGCAGCGCGGCGTCTGCGAAGCTCACGGCCTCATCCGCAATATCCTGTGGCGGGCCGACCTTCTCGCACGCAGGCAGCGCCGCCCAGGCCGCCAGCAACGCAGCCACGTCCGCCGGCCGCGCCGCAGCCACCGCCGCCGCAGCCTGCGGGTCCCGCTCGGCGCCGGCCCCGCCCGCGCGGACGGCGGCGGAGATTTTCAGGCCGACCGCCGCCCACATCCGCGACGCCCACGGCGCGCTGGGCGCGGCGCCCAGCGCGCCCAGCGCGCGCAGCATGGCGCCCAGCTGCTTCGCGCCGAGCTCCCGCAGCGCGCCGCTGCGGTGCGACGCGAGCAGCAGCCCGTCCAGCCAGCCGGCCGGCAGCTGCTCGGCCGGCAGCTTCCCGCCCTGCTGCGGCTGGCGCGCGCCGCCGCCATACCCTCCATAGTAATCCTCATCGCCGTACCCGCCGCCAAAGCCGCCCAGCCAGTCATCTGCCGCGGGCGCCACAGGGCCGGCGCGCCGCTGCTGCAGCGCAACCTGCTGCCATTTCGCCAGGCTGAACAGGACGAGGGGGAACTCCGCCCCCAGCAGCGCGTCGGCGCTCTGGCCGATCAGGCCGATCCAGGCTGCGCGCCACTCCGCGTCCGGCAGGTGGTTGTGGCGGGCAGGCATGTAGCCGGCGAGCACGAGGGCCTCACCTTGCAGGTGGGGCAGGTGGTCAAACGAGGTCTGCGGGGGAGGCGGGCGCGCGGGGACACGGGAATAATCAGGCCGCAGCCCAGGTGCCCTGCCGAGGTGAACTTTTGCCGGCCGAGTTTACACAATTGCCGACTGAGTGCAGCTGGGCGGATGCAGGCACCGCGATCCACCCGCGCACTGCAGCGGGCGGAGCTGTGCGCGTGCGGCAAGCACACCCGCGCCTTTCCCCAACACCCCTTGCGCCGCCCTCTCACGTCTATGTAGCCCTTGAGCCACTCGGCCGTGACGCTCCCAGGGGCTGCAATCCTCGACAGAACGAAGACGGCGTTGGCCGTGTCCTGTTGCAGGGTTTGGTTGAAAGGGGTTATGGCAAGTGAAACGTCACACTGACGCACACACGCCCACACGTTCCCACACACGTGCCTACACACACACACACGTTCCCACACACACACACACACACACACACACACACATGTATGTACGCACTTGCACACAGAGCGCATCGCATGCGCGCATGCACACATGAGAGTGCAAAAACTACCCATATACACACACGCGCACGCGCGCACGCAAACACACAAGCACATGCTTACTCCACCTCCCAGACCAACGAGCCCACACCTTGGGCGTCAGGTACTTGAAAGCCCGAATGCTGCGCCGCTGCAGCGCCTCAACCAGGTCCGGTGACTGCTCGTCTCCCGCCCGCACGCTGGCCTCCTTGGGCGGCGGCCGGTAGTTGAGCAGCGCCAGCGCAGCCGCCGCGTCAAACGCCTGGGGGCGGCCCGGGAGGGGCGCGGGTGCGTTTTGGGCCGGGAGCTGAACGGGGAAGAGCGCGCACGGGCAGCTGCGCACCCTGCCACGCTGGTTGGCTGCCCAGGCGGGCGAGGGCCAGCAGGCGCACCCCGCTTACTGGCCGCGCCGGTGCGGCGACCAGCCCGCGTTCAGTCAGCCGATCCGTCCGAGCTGCGACCCCACAGCGTCGCGCGTGCAGCCGCGCACCTCCCCGGCCTCCAAGGCTCCCAGGCGCCCCGTCAACCCGATGCCCAGCACTGTCACCACCCTGGGGCGCGCCAGTCCAGTGTCCAAAAGGCGATACAGCACTTCCTTCAGAGCCGGGGGCTTGAGGCTGAATTTGACAGGGGATTGCAGGGCGGCCGGCGGTGACGATGCGTTTGTTATGCCAGTTGTCGAGTTGGTGCGGCGCAAGTCGTGTGGCTGCTTGCAGGAGGGAGCCGTTTTGTGACGGGCGCATGAGGCCCGATGGTATCGGCCGAGCGCCACACAAACTAAACCGGCAGGGGTGGCGATTGCCGCGCCCGCGTCCATGGCAGCGCAGCACAGGAGGCCAGACAGGCAGGGCCGTGCACAACGCATGCCAAGTCCTTGCGCTCCTCAATCCCCTTGCCGCAAGCCTCTGCTCTGGCAATTTCAAACACGGCGCATGCGTTTATGGTGCTCCCTGCGCACTCAGTCTACACGCAATCATGAAACTCAGCATACCCACGCGCTCCCTCACCTCTCCACGCCGGACGTCATCACCGCGAGCATCGCGTCCAGCGCCGCCGTGGCCTCTGCGGCCTCTCGCGGCGGCAGCGACGCCACAGGCCCCGGCATGAGCGTCACCGTGGTCGTGAACATTTGAGCCACCAGGCCCGCCGACCTGGAGCAGTTGCGATCAGGTGTCACGTTGTGAAGGCCAGCTCGAGTCTGGTGCGTCGTGCCCGCCAGCCGCAGCCCTTGTGTGCCAGTTCAGCCCCTTACCACGCCGCACCGATGGCTGCACAGCCCTCCCGGCCCCCTGCGGGGCCGGGCGACCCTGTACGCACTGGCTTTGCAAACATGGGCGCTGCCTCACCCCGCTGCCAAACCCTTCCACCCCTATACACACTATGCTTCTCTCTTACACACACACACTCTGGAATGCGCACACCACTTCACACATACATACGCGTGCACTGTTTTGCCCAGCCTTCTAGCTAATGAGGCTGCCCAGCTGGGAGCCAGAAATCCGCTCTTGCATGCTGCTGGCAACGCATGATGCAGTGTCACGCGATGTAACACACACATACACACATACACACACATCAACAAGAAGTCGCCGCACCTCTTGTCCACTCCATCCCCAAGCTCCCTGAACAGCCCTACTGCCTCTTGCCACGTCGCCGCTGCCCTTAGCATGTCCATCTTATTGAAGTTTGCCTCTGTGAAGTACGGGCGATTGCGGGTGGTTGGTTGAGGGTGCGGGGAGAGCAGTGGCCCCAAGGCCAGCTACCCACAAGGTCCCGCCGCCTGCGGTGGCTCGGTACGGGAGGCTGCACAGATATTCGAGTTGGCGCCCGGAGGGGGCGGCTGCCCCGTGCTACAGCGGCCGGACCAGCGGCTGCTCGTGCAGCAGCTGCAAATGGAGACGATCCCGCCAACCCAACAGGCCCTCAATTGGAGTGCACCGTGTGCAGCCAGTTCGGTTCGGCACGCAAGCATGACAAGCCGCCCACCTGCGTCCCTCTCAGGCTTGCCGCGCGTCTTGAGGGGCACATCGTTGCTCATTCCCCTCTCAAACTCCCGCAACGAGCCACTGCCCAGGCCACTTGTCAGGTCCGCGGCGCGCGCCGGCTGGCCGCGGGGCAGAGTAAGCCGGGGTGCCAAACGCGGTACACAGCTGCCCCCAAGCCGCCGCCCTGCCGCCTGTGTTGGTTTTTGATAACGAATTGGCAGTAGAGCTGGAATGTGGGCTTGATGTTGCAAGTGCGATGTTGCTACTTTCAAGTCTGCAGCACGCGCAATCGGTATTCCCGCATGCGCGTCAGGGATGCCAAGGAAAGCAGCGGCGACGTGCGGCGGCGTGGCGCTGTCAATCGGCGCCCAACTCTGCACCGCCTCACCTGCAGGCTGTCGCCTGCACGCATGTGGATGCTCGACATATGATTTTGGCCTCACTATCGTATTTCTGCGCTTAGAAGCTGGACGCTGAACTGCGCGGCAGTGTGCACTTTGGCAGCGAGCCGCGACTAGGGCGCTGTAATTGGTATTGACAAGTTGAAATCATCCATGGTAAGGTATATACGGGGGCGCTTTTGATAACTTGTGCCGGCAGCCACCAAGACGGTGTTGCGCTGGGATGGCGCTCGCTCGCTCGACACGGCACTGCTCGCGATGCAAGACTCAGCACCGCTCACTTGCCCGATACATCTGCCTTGCACACCATGGATAGCAGCCAATGGGACACAAGTACCACCTTGTTTGTCGCACCCATGCCCTGTCGCTTCCTGCTGCCCGAATGAAGCCAGGTTGGCAACACCCAGAGCGAGTCAACAGGAGGGAGCCATTGACCATCACTACATATTGCAATCACAAAGAACCACACCCCGTCAACCGTCTTTAGGCTACAGTCTCACAGCAGCGCTAGCTGCTCGTCAGCGCAGACGAGAGGCCTGCGGGAGCGCATGTGCGCCTGCACGTGGATGCATCTGCCATCTGACCTACGCTGGAGCCAAGCAACTGGCTTTGCTCACTGCATCACAGGCAGGTAGCAGTGCACGATGAATTCTGCCCAACAGTAAGGACCCGGCAATTGCTACCAGTCGGCATGGAGCAGCATCGAGTACGCTATTGAATTCTGCTTTGAACACGTTGCCTCTCCTGTTGCCTGAACGTGTGCTTCGCGAGGGAGAACAAGTTGTGCAAGGGCCTGCTTGTGGATTATTAATTGTTGCACTTCTCTGATAATGCTCTTACCATGATATACATGAGTACTCTGTTCCTGGGTGGTGTGAGGAGCGGCTGCATCCACAACGCAAGTGGGATGTCCCTGGTGTCCATGCTCACCAGGGTGGTACAATTTGTAAGCTGCAAATCACCTGTGTGGTCACTGGAAGACGTGCTTGAGCGGTTCAGATGTGCGAGGGCACATGGCACAAGCGCAGCACACGCTCTGGTGGCCGGTAACTGAAGGTCCCTTGCGTGACCTGTCACCCACCCATGGAGCTGCAAGCAACCGAAAGTTCCCAGGTAACGGGTCAGCCGCATGCTGCAGTAGTAAACAGGCAGTGTGTGCTGTCGCACTTGAGGTTAGCTTGACAGAGTTGGCACCAACTTTGTTCTCTGTCCTTGCCAGGTTCCTCCGACTTCGAATTCAAGTCTTCGGTTCTTGCGAAGCTGTGAACACGGGTCACCTTGCTGGTACGAGCGGTGTCGATCGGCCACGAAGAGTTCCATACGACGATTTTAAACGTGGTTTAGGTCGGGAAGAGCTAGGGCACCAATCAACAGCAGGCGCACGCGGCCACGGCCTCTTCCCAACCCGCAGAGGCTGCAAACAGCAAAAACAGAGGATTTGTACAGTCTCGGGAATCACTGTTGTTTTGAAAACGACGGGTGTCACCGCTGGCCCCCTTGCAGCCACCAGACCTTGCGGTCGACGCTTGGGAAGCCTAGTGCCACGCAGGCATACAGCAATGACCGCCGTGCCCTGGTGGCGCTTCGCTGTCATTGTGCTGCTCCTGGCCACCCTCACAATTCATGGGGTTGGTGAGCCGCTGTTTGGCAGTGGGGACCTCGTCTCACACACTTGGCAGTGGCCACACTTGCCGAAAGGGACATCCCGCCATGTGTCCAGCACGCCACTGGGGCTCTTTGCGTGTCCCAACCGGCAGAGAATGAGTTGTGAAAAAGTTGCAGCTTCTGACCTTCTCCCGACTCTGCCTTGCACTTACAGGCAGCGTTGTCCCCGAGGGCTCCGCGACGGTTGCAAATGGCGACGTGGCATCTGCTGCCGCGTATGAGGCCGCGACCCCAGCCCTAAAGCCGACCATGAACCCCGCCCCCCCAGGCGCTGCCGCGGCCACGGTTGCTGCCAGCACCGTGGGCCCGGCGGCAGCCGCCGCGGCAGCCTTGGGGCAGATCAGCCAGGGGCAGGCCACTCAGTTTCTGGTCTGGTTTGAAGAGCCAGGTGCGGCGGCGGTCGCCTCGGAAACCGCCAAAATCCAGGCAGCCACTGCAGGTGATGCCGCACAGCCGCTCCTGGCTGCCGCCGCGCCCGCTGCTGCCGGTGCAGCAGCAGCAGACTCAGCTGCAGCGCTCGGCGCGCGGCGCGACGGCGGCGCTGGTCGCACGCCCTCCGCCGTGCTGGCGCAGGCGAGAGCCGCGGCCCGCTCCGCGATAAAGTCCCGAGTGCTGGGCGCCGGGGGCGCCGCAGAGCGTGCAGGCGTGCGGCGGGTCGGCAAGTACAACCTGCAGCATCTGCCAATGGCGGTGGTCGAGGTCAGCAGCGCCGGCGCCCTGGACATGCTCACGGCCTTGCCAGGCGTGAAGGGGGTGGTGCCAGACCTCCCCAAGCAACGGATGCTGGCCCAGTCCCTCCCGCTCATCAGTCAGCCCGCGGCGGCAGCCAAGGGGTACCTGGGAGGGCCGGAGTGCGACATTGCGGTGCTGGACACCGGTGAGACGCAGCGCTGCCGGGGTGCTGGTGGTGCAGGCGGCTTCGACATGGCGCCCGTGGCTGATGCGCCCTTTCACGCCAGGCATTGACAGGGGGCTCTCCAGTGACTATAACTAGTTGGACCGATGCGGGAGATTACGATTGTCAAGGGACAAAGACGTTGCGCAGAAATTCATCATGAATGCTGATGCTTTTTTGATATCGCTGTTGCCAACCCATCCACCGTTGCACCAGGTGCGGATTTCACGGTGCCTGAGCTGGGCGCCTGCAAGGCCGCCGGCGACCCCGGCTGCCGCGTGGTGTACGCCGCCGACATGACGGCCGTCAACGACGGCGTGCGCGACGACTCGAGCCTCCACGGGACGAATGTGGCATCGATAGCCGCGTCTGTTGCGCCCCGCTCGCGGATCATCGCACTGGTGGGTGGTCGGGTGGCGGCGCTCGCGCGTTTTGCGGTGCAGGGGCTGTGGATGTGAGAGTCGCTGACGACACAGAAAGGAAAGACGAAGGGAAAACTCACGGTACTAAGGGGTTGCAAGGGGTTGCGCCTTGGCTGCATGTTTGGGCCTGCCCCCGCCTGGACACCAGCACGAGGAGCCCTGCCCGCGCCGTCTTGGTCTGCACGGTCTCCCCCCCCCCAGGACATCTTCGACAAGGATGGTTTCACCTACGACTCCATCGTCGTGAACGCTATCAACTGGCTAATCGAGTCCAAGCGCAACGGCGCGTTCCCCAACACATGCGTCATCAACCTCAGCCTGGGGGACGACGGCGTCTGGCCCACCCCCTGCGGCCTCACCTCCACCGAAGCCGTTTACGAGGCTGCGTTCTCCGAGGCGCGCGCCGCCGGCATGCTGCCCGTCGTTGCTGCGGGCAACGCGGGCACGACGGCCGGGCTGGCGTCGCCGGCATGTGCGCCGAGCGCCGTGAGTGTGGGGGCTGTGTACGACGCAAACCTCGGTGGACTCAGGTGGAGCGCTTGCACTGACAGGAACATCTACACCGACATGGCAACCTGCTTCTCTAACGGTGAGCAGCATCCCATCGTTGCGGGTGAAAGTGTGTGACAAGAATGGGATCAATGCGCATTCAGATGTGCTTGTGGGCGCAACCGTAGGGGTGGCAGAGGAGAATTATGCTCAGCGACCACCTGGGCCTTGAGGTAATATTAGAGTCCTGTCAATGCCACCCTTGCCAGGTGTGGCCTTCATAGATACGCATTTTTATTCCGAGCGGCCGCCAACCTGCGTCCGAGCCTCTCCATGAGCATCTGAGCCTCTCATGCTGTCGGGTTCACAATTGTTGCCATCAGCACACGCGTGTCCAGATGTTGAACCTGGTGTGTTCACTGTAAGCTTGCTGAACCTACCATTGGCAACACGACCACGCCCGCAGGCGCACCCTATATGTCCCTCTATGCCCCGGGCGCCCTCATCACCGCGGGCGGCAAGACCTACGGCGGCACCAGCCAGGCCACGCCGCACGTCGCCGGTGCGGTGGCGGTCCTCAAGGCCGCGGTGCCCTCCGCAACCTTGGACCAGATCGTGACTGCGCTTCGAGAGACCGGCAAGCCCATCCGCGTCCCCAGGCAGACGTACGTCAAGCCACGCCTCAACCTGGAGGCCGCGGTCGAGTTCCTCAAGGGGACCCCGCTGCCACGTGACACGGACCCGCCCTCAGACGCCACGTTGACGCTGACTCCCGTGATCGGCGCCGACGGGGAAGCAGCAACGCTCCAGGTCCTCGCGCAGCTGACGTCGGCCGACCCCAGCGGCATCGCCATCGCATGCCTAAGCAATGCGCCGCTGGCCAGCTCGGAGGCCTGCAGCCCCTACAGGCCCTACACGGCCGCCGGGCTCACTTGGACGCTCGCCGACGGCGCTGATGGCAGCCGCACTGTCTACGCGTGGGCGGCCGACGCAGCGGGCAACTTTGCGCCGTCGCCGGCGACCGCGTCAATCAGCGTCAAGCGCACGCCCCGGCTCGAGATCCTCGCCGGCGATTCCAATGTCACTCGTTGGAGGAATCTGACCCTGTCGGTGATGGTGCCTGCGGCGTCATCCACCACTGAGATGTGCATCACGGACCGCGACTCCGCGAAATCAGCTGCCGACTGCAAGGCCTCGCAGTGGGCGCCCTACTCCCCGATCTACAACTTCAAGTTCAGCTCAGGCCGCCAAGGCGTGAAGGCTCTGAAGCTATTCATCCGCGACAAGCCGGCCGTCGGCGCCGTCACTGCTGCCGTTGTCGCACGTGTGGAGGCCGGGGCGGCGTCCATCCTTTTCGACTCTGCGGCGCCGTCGATGCCGGGAACGGTCAAGCTGAAGGCCAACGCGACGAGTAGCTCCATCGCCGTGTCGTTTGTGCCGGCCGCCAGAGATGTTGGGACAGGAATCGCGTCCTACCTGCTCGTCATGCGCGAGGGGTCCCGGCCGCCCAGCCGCTGCAGCACCTTTGACGCGTCGCCAAGCTCGAGCACATCGTCCACATTCCTCCGGCCGCCCGGCGGCTGGGTTGCCGGCGCGGTGCTCGAGCGGGTCTTTGAGGGTTTGCCGCCCAGGACGCGGTTCGGATTCCGTGTGTGCGCAGTTGATGGGGCTGGCAATATTGCCACAGGCCGCGTCAAATATGCGTCGACCAGCAAAGCTCTATAAGCTGCTTGGCCGGGGTGAATCGGGAAGCAGAGTGCTGGCAGTACTGTACTGCAGCTCAAGCTGCCATGCACAGTGGCCTATGTTTATTGTTTGCGGTGGCATACGCAATGGCCCCCGACAGCTTTTATTGCCCACAGCAATTGCAGCTTCGTGCGCACTTGCAACTGAAACTGTTGGGTGGATTCCATCTCTGCATTTTCTTGGTGCTGGAAACCCCTCCACCGGGGTTTTAGCACACAGAATAGCCATGCCTGCCCGGCCCCTGCCAGTCACTGCTGCCTTGGCCAGCAATCTGGTTTGCTTGCAATTTTTTGCGCATAGCGTGGGCTGCTTTTGCTGTTTTTCTGTGCCAAACTGCCCCATCAGCAGTACACTGGAGTTGTGGCTTTTTGATTGGTTGCGGTTGTAGGATGATCGGGGCGCCCTCGCTTGGCTGCTGCTGTCACTTGATTGTACGCCGTGGTGGTGAAACTGCCCTGTGTGCGCGTACGCTGTGTGTGCTGTACTCGCTATTCATCACTTCACTTCACATGCACTTGCACTTGGAATTTGACTCGAGTTTTTGATTTCTACCCCGGTGTAACCGCTTACGCTCTGCATATACATATGGCTTACTGCCAGCTGCACGTCAGTGCTGTGGTGTGGCCTTCGACAGACATAAGAGCACTGCACCCACACTGACACCCACCAATTCCCGGGCCAAGATGCAGTGTTACGAGGCCAGAGATGTAAGGTCTGGAAGTTGACGTTGCGTTTCAGCATTCGGACACTTGTTCACCATTCTATCCTTGCGAAAATTTGGACAGGATGGCAGCTGCCCAACAAAAATGCAGGTGAGCACGCCGGAATTCGGCCCGACACTCTCCGAGAACGAGATTTTGATACGTACTGAAGTAGATATTATGTCATATCGTACCAGAGTAAACCGGTATTGTTTATTGTAGGTAGCTTCGACTCAAAAGCCGCTCCTTGGCCGCTTGGCGTGTCATACCGTACATTGCAGGGTGGCCAGCCACGCATTAATGCCTCATTTGTGACGCAAGGGCATTCTTGAGCCTGCTGCGTGCCTTGACGGCGGTGAGCGGGCCTCCGCTGCCAGCTGCTCGGTGGCTCGCCGGCTGCTGGTCGCTCAATCTGCAATGCAGCGTCGCCAGGTGCCACTGAGGTGCCTCCTGGCTGTAGTGCTGCTGTATGCGGCTTCCCCACTCAGCTCAGGTGGGTTGGCTATGGATTCATCATGGCATGAAGCTGACCGAGCGACTTATCACACTGCAGTGTGAATGCAGCTGCATGCACAGCAGTCTGCACTTGTGCGCACCCCCGCCTCCCTGCGGCATTTACCTGAACCTTGTGCATAATGCACATAGGCGGTATGATCCCCATGGCGTTGGGCCAGAAAGCCCGGGATCTGGGGCCCACCGTCATCAATGCATCATCTGGCGGTGCCGATGACGCCGACAGCGGGGCGGCTGCCACAATAGCTGCTTACTCAAAGATGGCAAGCGGCCAGCCGCAGCAAATGCTGGTGGTGTTCCGCATCAGCGCAGCGGATGAGAGCCAGGCTGCTGATGGCGGCAGCGGCGGCACGCTCAAAGCTATAGCTGGAATGCAGCTGCTCAGCTCCCTTGGTAGGGGCAGCTCGTCGCGTGAAGCACGGGTTGCGGCGCACGCGGCCGTCAAAGCCAGGGTTTTCCCAGATGGTGTCACTGGGGGAGGCGGCAGCAGTGGGACCTTCCCGCAGCAGCAGGACACACAGCTCATCCACGACTTCGAGCAGCTACCTGTATCTGTCGTGGCAGTCAACAGCACATTTGCACTCGACGCGCTCCTTGCCGACCCAAATGTGGCAGCGGTTGTCCCGGACCGCCTCAACCGCCGCATGTTGGCGCAGAGCCTGCCGCTGATAGGCCAGCCTGCGGCGTCGGCCAAGGGGTTCAGGGGGGCAGGCTGTGCAGTCGCCGTGCTGGACACAGGTAGGAGGCCATTGCGAGCAGAGGACTGCAGATTTGCGTTGCGCCTGCCTGCTTCTCTCTGTGATGAAAATCCATTGGTGCATGAGGTGCTTCGCAGCTGGCAGTCATCAGGCACCTGCAGGAGCAAAAACTTCATGCAGAGCCAAAGACTTGAGCTCACGCCTTGTGCTGCTTCACCCAATTGGCCTGTCACCAGCAGGGGTTGACTACACCCACAGCGAGCTCGGGGGCTGCTCCAAGCCTGGCGCTCCTGAACCCTGCCGCGTTGCGTACGCGCGGGACTTTGCTCGCGATGATGGTCAGATGGATGACCCTCAGGTAAACAAAGTAATGTACTTGTACATTAGTCGGCAAAAGGGGTGTTGGTTGCTTGACGCATAACAACCTCACTTCTTGGGGGGAGAGGTGAATGCACAGCGGCTTTGGCCGCCACCCAGCCAACACCTACCACCCAGCCAGACAGCCATGTATCAGGACAGCAGCTCGTCCACCCGGCCATCCCGCCCCCACTATCCCCCCCCCCCCAAGCCTTGCCCTCGGCCTCCCAGCCTCCCAGCAGCCCTTCAGGCTCCCACCCCCTCAGCCTTCCAGCCTCCTAGCCTTGCGGCTCCCCAGTCACCCAGCAGCCTCCCAGACATCTGGTCACCCACGCAGCCAGCCCCCCACTCAATCACACCTTCTGTAATGCTCACGCCGCGCGACCGCTCCGCCTGCCACAATGCCCCGCCATCCAGCGCCACGGCACCAATGTGGCCGCCACCATTGCACGCACAGCACCTGGTGCAAAGATCCTGGCGCTTGATGTCTTTGACGGGGACGGCGCCTATGACTCGGGTGCTTTTCGAGATACTACTCCAGGAGCTGCTGCGCCGCTGCGCAGTCCGTATGCAAGGAGAATTGCATAGCATGCACGCACGACATTTTGCTGGTGCTGACGCCTAGCTGCAGCCTTGCACGCTGTGAAAGCCTCCATGCCCTGCCCCTCACTTGCCATTCCCACCGCTGCAGACATCCTGCGTGCCATCGACTGGACCATTAAGAACCGTGTCAGCGCAGCCTATGGCCAGGTCTGCTCCATCAACCTATCCCTCGGCGGCAGCGACTTTTACACCTCCCCATGCGCGGGCGACGTCTACCAAGCCGTGTTTGCCGAGGCTCGCGGCGCGGGCATCCTGGTTGCCGTCGCGGCCGGCAACGAGGGGAAGCGAGGGTCGCTGTCTTCGCCGTCATGCGCGCCGGCAGCAGTCAGTGTGGGCGCCGTGTACGACAGCGGGTTTGGCACGGCGCTGTGGGGAGGCAGTGCGGCATGCAGTGACGACACAACAGCCGCGGACCTCGTCACCTGCTTCAGCAACAGCGCAACCTACCTGACTGTCCTGGCACCAGGGGCTATGATCAAGGCGGGGGGCGTCTCATATGGGGGCACCTCGCAGGCCACGCCTCACGTGGCCGCGGCGATTGCTGTCCTGAAGGCCTCTGCCCCCGCAGCCACGCCCGACCAGATCGTGGCGGCGCTCCGCGACGGCGGCAAGCCGGTCCGAGACTCACGCAATGCGCTGACCACGCCGCGGCTTGACCTTGACAGCTCGACTCAGCTGCTTGCCGCCAGGACGGGCGACAAAACCCCGCCAGCAGACGTCGCAGTCAAAATCAATGGCGGCGCAGCCTACACAGGGTCGCCGCACGTCACACTCGCCATCTCAGCGATTGACCCCAGCGGCGTGGCGCAGGCCTGCATCAGCAACGACGTGGCAGTGACGGATTGCAGCAATTACCAGGATTTCTTGAGCGCTCTGCCTTGGACCCTGGCGCCCGGCGATGATGGGCCACGCAGCGTCCTGGTCTGGCTCAAGGATTTCAAGGGCAACACCATGGCGGCGCCCGCGCGCGCAGACGTCATCTTGGACACGCAGCCACCGAGCGGCGCTGCGATTGTTATCAGCGGTGGCTCCGCGGCGACCGCTTCGCGCACCGTTATGCTATCGCTCGCTGGCGCCGACGCTGGTGGGGGCCCCCTGCACATGTGCCTCAGCAACAGTGGCAACGCCATGGCTTGCATGCCTTACGCGGCGTTTACTGCCACCAAGCCTTGGACGCTGGCGGCCGGTGGCGACGGCGACCGCAAGGTCCATCTGTTCCTGCGAGACCGCGCCCAGAACGTCGCCAGGGCATCCGCCACGATACGGCTCGACACCCAGCCCCCCACGGGCTGCGAGGTGAAGCTTGCAGGCAGCGCTGGCCACTCTGGTGTGACAGGCTCGCTCCAGGTGACGTTGTCTGTGTCTGCCTCAGACGCTGGCCAAATTTCGCGCATGTGCATCGCCAACAGCGACGCCAAGATGTTGGACAAGGGCGGCTGCTCGGCTTGGCAGCCGTTTGCGGCGCAGCAACACTGGATGCTCGCAGACGGCGCCGACGGGTCCAGGTCAGTGGCAGTGCTGCTTTCTGACGAGGCAGGCAACATCATGAGGGCTGCGGCGGCAGGCACTATTGTCCTCGACACGCAGCCCCCCGCAGCGGCGCGGTTGGTTGTCAACCACGGCATGCCCACAGTCTGGACCAACAACCTGGCCCTTGAAGTGTCTGGAACAGACCTTACAGGCATCACAGACATGTGTGTGACCGACAACCCGGCTGCTGCCACGCCAGGCGCAGCCTGCCCCGCCGGCTTTGAGCCGTTCGTTGCGTCCAGGGCCTGGCAGCTGGCACTGGGTGGCGACGGCCCGCACAAAGTCAGGGTTTGGCTATCAGATGGGCTGGGCCACGTCACACCGGCGCCTGCGGAAGCTACATTCGTGCTCGACACGCTGTCCGCTACCCGTGCGATCACGATCAACGCTGGCGCGCGATTCACGGCTTCCAAGGCCGTCAACGTCAGTGTGGCAGTGCCTGCTCGTGGCGTTGACGCCAGCGGGTCGCTTCTCGTTTGCATCAGCGAGACGGCGACCACGCCAGCGGATTGCAAGGGCAGCGACTGGCAGCCGTATGGGAAGGTCAGGGCCTTCGTCTTGAAGTCGAGCAGCCAGGGGGTGCGGCGGCTGCGCGCCTTCCTCAGGGACGCGCAAGCCAACGTCAGCGCTGGCGGGGCGGAGACGACGATTGTGTACGATTCGATGCCCCCCACCACGAATGTCAAGGCCCTCAACTTCAGCGCAGCTGCCATCAGCCGCAACGCCGCCACGCTCGCTTTCAACGCATCGGCGACGGTGGATGCGGTTTCAGGAGTGACAACCTTTCTTGTGGTGGGCGCGAAGGGCGCCACGCCGTCATCCCGCTGCGCTGTCTCGCCGAAGACAGTATTCACAGCTAACGTTGACGCACCTGGCACTGGCAGCGGCGAAAGCGCCGGCACACGGGTACTCGGAGTGAGGGGCCTGGAGGCGGGGACGCAGTACAAGTTCAGGCTGTGTGCAACGGACGCTGCCGGTAATGTCGCGCCAGGCGCCACGTTGACTGTGAGAACCCTTCCATAAGTACCCCGTCCCTTCCTCTGGGCCCATTACTCCCTTCTCCCTGCCTCCCGTAGGCACCCTCACCTGCATTCTCCCACTTATTTCCTTCTGTGTTTGGCTAGCGCATCTGCGCTGTTGGCGCTGGGTATTGAGCATGATTTTTTGTTGGTGACATGTGTGACCTCTGGATCTGGCTGTGACCCACATGAGCAGGGTAGAAACTCTCTGTGGAGGGACACAAAGCATGTTCAAGCAAACCAAAATCCTCCTCTGCGTGTGAGGCACACCACGCAGCCAATTGCTTTCATCAAACGAGCCATGGCAAACATCACAAAGCTTGTGCGATTCCGCACCCTCGGCACCAGCGCCGCTCCCTGGGTCACACAACAGCATCTGAGGCGTAGCTGTACCACTCTTTCTACTTGCATTCTTTCAATGGGCTGTGCCTGATGCATCAGACCGGGGTGGCGCACACCACTGAGCAGTACATTAGAGTACTGGTCTGGAACAAAAGCTACCAGGACCGCACTCGACAGCGTCAGCAATCACTCAATTTTACTTCCACACCAGTGCGCCCGAAATCTCCTGATGGACGGTGGCAGCACAAGGGATTTCGCGCGTGCGTAGGAGCGCCACCTTGGGCGGCAGCTGCGGGTGTCATCCGTTCCTGCCCATTGCAGTCCCAACCCTCTATGTGTCTCGCTTGCTCTGTCCGCACGCATGTCCCCACGAAGCACACGCTGATCGTGGGGCGCTCAAGCGCAAGCTCCAAGTCGAACAGCAGCACAAGCCGTTGCGCCAATCGCTCCATCCCCGGAGCAAAGATCGCAGACCCCGTCCAGGCTCCTTGTCAAAAGCAGCTATTGGACTCAGTAGAGGTTCCGGCCATGGAAGCCGAGTGCTTTCGCGACCGGTATGGATTTGCAGTGGGTCACGACTGCCAGCACCTCGCGCGGATTTATGCGCCACTCCACGATAAGGAGGAAGAGGAGAGGTGTCAGGCGTGGCACGCATTCCTGGCGCATGCAGCCGCCGAGGTCGGCGCCGCGCCGCCCGCCCACACCGGCGCCGCCCAAGGCACCGCCCTCGCGGCGAACGTGCTCTCATGCCTGGCGCGGGACGGCGGCAAAGACCTGCGGTCGCAGCTGGCGCGGCTTGTGCATGGCGGCATCCCCGCAAGCCTCAGGGCGGAGGCCTGGCCGCTGCTGCTGCACGCCGAGGACGTCGTGCCAGCCGGCCGTTATGAGGCGCTGCTGAGGGTTGTCGAAGCAGGTGAGTGCGTTTATCGCAAGGACCTGCTTCCCTGATCTGGTACAGTCGCCCCCGGGCCAGGCGGTACGCATGTGGGGCGATCGATGTGCAGCGCCGTCCCCTCATGCTGGCCCGCATAGGTGATACGAGTGCTGCAGTGCACTGCGGCAGACTGCGCTGCAGCTTCCGTGAGTGGCGTCGTGCCAGGCCTATTTAGACGCGGGTTCATTCATTCCGTACGGCCCTCCGATGCACCACGTTCCTCCCTGCACCTTCCAGAAGGCCAGCCCCTGGACGCCCACGCGGCGCGAGCAACGGAGATCGGCATCAGCAGCGAGCAGCTGCTGCTGTGGCGGCAGCAGGGCCGCGCGTGGCTGTCCCAGATTGACAAGGACATGAGCAGGCACGCCTTGATCCCGGGACACGCGAGCATCAACCCACCATAAAGAGCGACCCGGCAGGGGGGGTAGCACTGTGTGGAGCGAGCCAAGAGCACTGCCCGCAGTTGGTCCAAGCCGGCTGCCCTTCCGCGGTCTGCCGCGCAGGACTTTCCCAGGCCATGCCCGCATGGACCAATCCGTCAAGGCCTCCCTGAGGCGGCTGCTCGCCGCCTTCACACTACATGACCCCGCCCTAGGCTATTGCCAGGTCAGCGCGACGCGCAAATGCGGTCGCACGCGGGGCCCGCCTTGATGTGGGCCGTGCCAGCAGCGAGCGATGCGCCTCGCAGCAGCCCGAAACCCTCTGGCGCCCCTCTTTGGAGCAGCAGGAGCGGCAGGCCCAACCCTTGCTGACCGACCGCCTCCCGCACCACCGCCGCCGCGCGTCTGACGATCAGGGCATGTCGTTCGTGGCGGGCGCGCTGCTGCTGCAGCTGCTGCCTGACGAGGCGGCCGCGTTTGGCTGCTTCGCCGCTGTGGTGCGGGACGTGCTGCCGGGCTACTACGCCCCCACCATGACCGCGCTGCAGGTGGATCAGGAGGTGCGGCCCAGCTCAAGTCGATCCGGCGCTCCCCAAAGCCTTGAAAAGAGGGCGCGTCGCAGGCCGCGCTCACACTCCCGCGCCGCCCGAGGCTCAGCGCCCTCGTCTGGGGCCCCTTCGCCCCCCAACCCCTGCGAAACCCCAGCCAAACTCACTGTCAGCCCCGCCTTCCCCATCCTTTACCCCCGGGCCCCTTGCTCCCGTCGCCCCCGCCGCCGCCGGGGGCCGCAGCTCTTCCGTCACTTGGTCAGGGAGCACCACCCCCGCCTGGCGGCGCACCTGGATGAGCTCGGCGTCGACCCCGGCGGCCCGCTGCCCGGCTGGCTGCTGTCCGGCTTTGTGAACTGCCTGCCGTTCGAGGTGCGGCCGGGGATCTGCCGGGGACTCGCTCCTATGCCGAGCGCGCCTGGATCACCACCAACACCAACCCCTGAAGCCACAGCGGGCACTCAAGACTGTCTGTGCGTAATCGCCGTCCCTTTTGATCGCCCCCTGGCCCCAATACTTGCTCGTCTCGGCTTCGCGCGCATGCCATCACCTCCAGTCCGCGCTAAGGGTGTGGGATGTGGCATTCCTGGAGCGCTCCCCGGCGCCCCTCATGCGGTGCGCACACCTGCGGCCCCGGGGCCTTGAGGCGCCAAGGTCCATGCGTCCGCCGCTGCCGGGCATCGGCTGTCCCCGGGTCCATCGGCTTCGGTGGCGCCCCGCCGCTGCGCTCGCCGCCCCCTGCCCGGCGCGCACTGCAGGCCTGTGGCCGGGCGCCAAGCACGTGATAGGCTCGTGTGCTTACCTCACGGGCAACTGAACAGGCCGTCAGCGTCCCACGCCCTCGGCACTCTTGTGGTGCTCGTCTCCACTGCACCGTCCCGCTTTCATCCCCGCCTGCCTCGCGACCGCCGTAAGGCTCGCTGTCAGACCCGCGCCTTGGCCCTCGCGCCCCCCCCCCCGACCCCACCGCAGCGTGTGCCTGGCCATGGTTGAGATCTACGGTGCCGCGCTGCTGGGCTCGGCTGACGTCCTCGACGCGGGTGGGTGGGCCCTGCTGCATCTGTGCAGTTCGCAAGTGCGTCAAGTGCGTCAAGTCCCTGTGCGGTTTTGCGTTGACCTGGATACTGTGCAACAACATGAACCGGCCGGTGCCATGCACGCACGCGCGCGCAGGCGCGCGCGCACACACACACACGCGCGCGCGCGCACGAACACGAACACATGAACACAACCGTGCACGTACCCTCTCTCCCTGTCTCACTGTTTGTCTCTCTTCACGTCAGTCTTCTTGAGCACACACACACTCACACACACACACACACACACACACACACACACTTGTGCCCCACACACGCAGGGCAGCTGCTCCACGCGATGCCCTCGATGACGTTCGACGCATCCCGCCTCATTGCAGTGGCGGACCGCGCGTTTGGTGACATCACCAACAACAACCTGCAGGTGTGTGTCTTCTGTGTATTCCTCTCTGTCCCGCTTTTGTGTTGGTGTATGTGGAGCTTGTGGGGTGTGTGTCTCTCTGTTTTGTGTGTGTTTTTGTGTGTGTTTTGTGTGTGTTTTTGTGTGTGTTTTGTGTGTGTGTGTGTGTGCGCGCGCCTGTGTGTGTGCGTGTGTGTAGGGGTGTGTGTGTGTGTGTGCATGCGCGCGCGCGCGCGCCGGGGTGGGCAGGTGGGTGGGCAGGTGGGTGGGTGCGCCTTCGACGTCAAGCTTTGATGTGCATCTGCTGTCATCGCGGTTCCGGCCCCGGGTTCGGCGACCCTGATGGTTGTCATGACGCATCGCCCCCCCGCACCATTGAGCGCCTCCCCCTCTTGCGCATCCTTGCGCCCCTGGCACCTGCGCCGCCTTGGTTGCGCCGCGGCCCCGCAGGCGCTGCAGCACTGCTTCCGGGCCGAGCTGCAGCAGAAGCGGGAGACGCAGCAGGCGGTCGACGCGCAGCGCCGGAAAGCGGCCTTGGAGCGCACCGGCAGCGCGGCAGCCATGGCCGCGGTGCATTCTACGGGCAGCCTGTCGGTGGCGGCGGTGGCGGCTGCGGCGGACGCAGCGGCACAGGGATTGCCGGAAGCGGTATCAGAGGCGCAGAGGCGGGCGAACGCCGTCGCGCCAGCGCCTGCGCTGCCCGCAGTGGCGGGCTCTGTTGCAGCAGGGGAGGTGGAGCAGGGTGAGGAGGACCAGAGTGAAGATGAGGAAGGGCTGGAGGAGGGCGAGGACGCTGACGAGGACGAGCGTGTGCACGTCCAGGCGCAGGTGCAGGTGCAGCGGCCCAGCTTGAAGGGCGGCAAGGGGGCGTGCGGCGAGGAGCAGCGGCGGTTCGAACATGAAGAGGAGCAGGGCGAGGGGGCCGAGGAAGGCGACGGCAGGAGCCCGAGGCAGTTGCAGGGCAGCCAGCAAGGCGCTCAGGGGGGTGGGCCAGCATCCCCTCGTTCAAGCCGCAGCAGCCCGGTCCCGTCTGCGTTTGCTGCCGTCAACAGCCGGAAGAAGGAACAGCAGCAGCAGCAGCAGCAGCAACCAGCATGTACTGGGAACGTGGACACTGGAGCGAGTTCCCGCTGGGCAGAATTCAAGGAACACAGCACGCACTTTGGCGGCAGCGCCGAGGACGCGGCCGACGCCGTGGCCGGCGCGGCGCAGGCGTCAGCAGCAATTGCGACGCCCGTCGCGGCGCCGGCCGCGGCCGCGTTGCGGCCGGCGGCGGCGGCGCGGGCGGGCGCGGCCAGCGTGCCCAGTGAGGATCCAGAGCTGTATAACGAAGCATCGGACGACTTTGAGGAGAGTGAGGGGGTGAATCTGCTGTTGGTGCCCCAGTCGCAGCCGGCCGCGCCTGGCTGCGGCCGCCCCGGCGCGCTCGCGGTGGCGTGCAGCGGCGGCGCCGGGTGCGGCAGTCCCGGCGGCGGCGGCGACGGCGGCGGCAGCGGCGGCGGCGTGAGCGCGCACCGCTACCGGATCTTGGACAAGCCCACCGCGCGGCGGGGCTGCCTGGCGGCCGCGTACGACATAGCCGCCTCCCCCGGCCTGCTGCCCCCCACCCGCACGCCGCTCACCAGTGCACCGGTGGGCGGCGCGGGGGACGCCAAAGGCGAGCCCATTCCAGGGGCCAACCCCGGCCGCCGGCCGCAGCGGCAGCGCTCTGACGGCTCCGCTGCCGCCGCGGCGGGCGCCGGCGTCGACCCCGTCAGCTCTGGCAGCTTTGACAGCGGCGTGTGGCAGCTGGCCAGGCGCAGCAGCACGCTGAGGTCCGGGGAGGAGGAGTGGGTGGACGTGGTGCCCTCCAGCAGCCCCGGCGGCTGGATGGCCGCCGCGGTCGGGCCGCACGCGCGGCCGGGCGGGGGCGGCGGCGGCGGCGGGCCTGGCGGGCGGCATGCGGGCGCGGTCGTCGGGCGTCAGCCGGGGCCGGTGTTGATGCCTGGGGGGGCGCGGGGTCAGAG